CCATGAATGACCGGAATACGCCTCCCAAAGTATTTAAGACATTACCTATACCGCGTACAGGCTCGATGTCATTGAAACGAAAGGTATATTAGTTTCCCTGGGTGCGAAATTGTGAGTGCGAAATAAGTCTTCGGGCATTACTTGCCGTGCCTCAGACCGTTCTTCCAGCTTCATTCCCTCCGCGCTGTGGGTCTACCCGGGTGGCCTACGTGTCCATCGTTGGCTCATCGCTACTCAAGGGAGGCTCGGGCTCAGAATCCGCGTCGTCTTCTTTATCCGGATACACCTCGGAATCCCCATCCTCATCGTCATCTTAGAACGCCCTCGTTATTTTGGGAGTGACACTGTCGTCCAGCGTCATTTCGCGGTTCAGGTTGCGAAGGTAAACTTGGAGCATTTCAGTCACTGAACGTCTCGTTACCCTTCTCAGCTTCCTGAACGGCATCCAAAAATTAGGTCTGACCCCTGGAAAATTGATAGACACACCAATAAGATCAAATGAAGAACAATTGACGAAAAGCCTTCGCTGCAAAGACTCGATTACTGCGCCTATGGTGCGGATAATCCTCTTGGTGCTTCGAATGGGCTGCGAAATCACTCGAAAAGTGTATTCTTCGCCTGCCGTCTGCAGGTGGTGGATGTAACGATTGTAGTGGGTCAGGGGTCAAACTGGTCTATACTAAAAACCTTTACTACTCAGGACAAAGTGAAAGTGATGAAGGAATGGCGGCGGGTTTTGCAGGAATCATAGCTCTTCATCCTCGATAACCTCACACTGCAAGACTGGCAGGAGAAGAAAAAAGTTTAAATTGGAGGTAAAGTCACTCTATGATAAAGGTACAACACTGAGGTCTTTTGCTGGAAAATGGCGATGAAGTAGCGGTGAGGTCTTCCACTTCTTGAAATGAAATACAACGGAACTGTGATCCCCTTTTGGGGGGTTATTCCTCGCAAATTTTGTGACAGATATTGAGTGTGTTTAGGGTGTTTATTGTGTATTTGGGGGCGATTTTTATGTTCCTGTTTGATTTGGAAAAGAGCTCTTGTGTGTCGAAATCATGTTTCCTTCCAGTAATCCATTCCACCGCGGGCTATCTGTCGACCAAAGGATCTTGTAGGGGTTGAAGAGCGAATGCTTCTATTTTTTTCTCTTTTTTCTCGTTAGAAGGTTGCTTTGTGGAATGCAAAGGGTATGGTCTTATGGGAGGGCGGGTTTCATTAAAAAATCTGGGTCAAGTCATTTACCGAGTTCTTCATCTACCTTTATTGCACCCTTTGGTTCATTGTGTTGCATTCATTTTAGGTATCCTTGGTTTGGTCTTGTTTTTCAAGTTTGTTTGTTTCTTTAAGACCATATGTGGATACGAAATGATTTTATTCGCATCATTATGCAAAAATTGTTGCAATGGAAAATAGTCAGTTTTCAATAGCCTCGATGAGGCTGGGTGAACTTGCTAAAAGAAGAGACGTCTTTCATTTTCTTATGAACAAAAAATATTTTGTTTATTGTTTACAAGATGTGCATTTTACCAAGGACACGGAACAGTTTGTGGGGAGTGAATGAGGTTTCAACTGTTTCTTCAGCTCATTCAGGAGCAACTCCAGAGGAGTGGTTATCCTTTTTGATAATAATGTGGAATATAAAGCCAAGTGGGTCAAAAAGGATGAAAATTGTTATTTGTTATTTGCGAATCTAGAAATCGGTGATTACAAAATCACATTGGTTAACTTGTATGGACCAAATAACGATGATCATGGTTTTTATGATAAAATCTGCACGATTTTGAATGATTTGGATAACACTCACGCTATTCTGTGTGGGGACTGGAATTTGGTCCTAGATGAATCTCTTGATTATGTGAACTACGTCAATCTGAATAATCCTCTGGCAAGAAACAGAGTTCTCAATATGTGTAATGATTTTGATTTACTTGATGCCTTGAGAGCACACAACCCGGATTCTTGTAGATATGCTTGGAGAAAACACCAAACCTTGAAGTAATCTAGATTGGATTTTCTTAATTTTATCAGAATTAAACTCTAAAATTATCAATTATGATATTAAGCCAGGATATAGAACTGGCAAATAGAAATTATGTTTTAATTATGTTTGGACTTAATGAATATGCCGTGTCTCCATATTTACGTTTTAATCTTAAAAACATGCATCCAAGAGATATCCATTTTGTTATTGATGATCAAATATTTTCGAAATGTTATTGATGAAAATGAGATAGAAAACTATTTCTTTTGCCTCTTAGAAGAAAAAAGAGACTAGGAAAGCCGAGAGAAGGAGATAAATATTTTGTCTGATAAAGTTTCAGAGGGTGATCTTGATTCACTTGATCTTTTAAATGTTAAGCAAGCAGTCCTTGTTGACCTTCGCAAAGCTAAAATGGAAGGTGTTTTAATGAGATCCAAATCCCGTTGGATGGAGGTTGGTGAAAAACCTTCAAAGTATTTTTTAATTTTAGAAAACGTAACTTTGTGAATAAATCTATTAACTGTATTATTAATGAAGCCAATTGTAGACTTACTAGTTCCAAAGACATCCTACCAGAGGCTAGGAGCTTTTATCATAAAATTTACTCTACTTGGATTATTGAAGATAACGTTGAATTCAAGTCACTTTTCGTAGCGGCTGGTAAGAGTATTCTTTCCGACTGTGTACGAGATAGCATTGAGGGGCCTTTATCTCATGACTAACTTCTTCATGTATATATAAAAAAGCGAAGAATGGCAAGTCTCCGGTTCTGATGGTATTAGTTATGAATTTTATAATTATTTCACTTCAGACTTGCCGTGGTACTTACTACGCTCATTAAACAGGGGTTATGTCTCTGGTCAATTCTCTGTTACTCAGAGATACGGTATAATCACTCTTTTGCCAAAAGGGGACAAGCCTCGACAGTATTTGAAAAATTGGCGCCCCATTTCTCTTTTAAACACCTTGTACAAAATTTCCCCTGCCTGCATTGCAGAGACTTAAATGTTGTTTTAAGTGTATTATTCATGAAAGACCGAAGGGGTTTATGGCAGATCGTTTTATTGGGGAAAATATTCGATTAATGTATGACTAGTTGAATGTCAGTGAATCTAATAATATACCTGGTCTATTTCTGTCTATTGATTTTGAAAAAGCATTCATTTCCATATCATATAATTTCATTTTTAAAGTTCTAGACGCGTTCAATTTACGGCCTTCCGTCAAAAAGTGGATCAAGGTACTTTATAACCAAGCCTCCTCTTCAGTTCTGGTTAATGATTCCTTTCTCAGTCGTTTCAAATTGGAAGAGCTTGCAGGCAGGGGGACGGCTTTAGCCCTTGTCTGTTCCTTTTGTGTGCAGAAATTTTATCAATGATGGTATGCATTGATAAAGATCTTCAAGGCATTGCTGTTGAGGGAATGGAATTTCGATTATCCCAGTATGCTGACGACACGGTTTTGTTCTTGAATGGCTCAGCGAAGTCAATGCAGGCTGCTCTCAGAATTCTTGACCAATTTGCTGATATGTCTGGTTTAAAAGTTATCGTTGAGAAGACAATGCCATTTGGATTGGTTCAATGAAAGATAGTGAGGAGAAGCTTTGTGAAGAGGTCAACGTGAACTGGGTCGCGGCTAAGAAACCTTTTAGAATTCTTGGTATTGACTTCTCCACTGATCTTAACTCTATGATTCACTAAATTACAATAGGATTATCCTAGGGTGGGTTGCGAATGGTTGACGTTCATGTTTATTTAGAAGCTCTGAAAGTTACCTGGTTACGTAGACTCCTTAAAGCTCAGTTCTCAGGTTGGTATACTTTGTGCAACTGGATTTTTATATCTTCCGATTGTACTTATTGGAAGGTGATTCAATTAAATTGATTAATGCCTGGAGAGTTCGTAATTCTTTTTGGTTCGATGTGTTTACAGCATGATCTAACTTTACTCGGGCCCATTTGCCTACATAGAAAGCGGAGGTATTGAGGAGTTCTCTTTAGTTTAATGATAAAATTAAGATTAATGGCAGACGTATTTATTATAAACATTGGTTGAGTAAAGGTGTTAAGTTTATTGCTGATTTAATAAATGAGAATGGCGCTCTTATTTCTCTAGATGAGTTTAAGAATGTATTTGATGTCAGCACCAACTTCTTTAGAGTATGGTGGTCCTTTTAAAGGACCAGAAAGGATCACAAGGGATCTTTAATGTTTTAGTGTCTTCTAAACATGTGCAAAGAAAATTCAAATATAAGTGGAATGTTAAACTGAATATAGATTTTGATTTTTAGAAATGGTCTTTAATTTTCAATATTCCATATACTTGTACAGTTGACACTAAACCACGTTGGTTCTAATTTAGAGTAATACACCGGATCCTAGGAACCAATTTATTTTCGTATAACATTGGTAAGACCAATCTTTGTACATTCTGTAACTAGGAAAAGGAGACACTTATCCATCTTTTTTGTTCGTGTACCCACACTATCTCTTTCTGGTCCTCAGTATTTCTATGGATGAAAGAGAAGACCAATCTGTCTATTGCAATGGATAATAACGTCTTTTTATTTGGCAACACCAATGTTACAGGTAATAGTAAAGTGGTTAATCTAATATTGTTGATCTGTGGATCCATGTGTATAAAATGAAAATGAACGAAAAACGACCCTCACGTTGTGTCTTAAAAAAGGATGTGAAGAATTATTATTTGATGAAAAATTCATGTTTTATGGAACTGGAACTAGTTCCCAATTTCACGAGAAATGGGACCAATAAGTCATATTTAGCAGGCTTTTAATGTTATTGGAATCTAAATCTGTATTTCTTATTTATAAATTGTTCATATGGATGTTTAAAAAGACACATTGAAAGGAGAAGCCCAGAAAAAAACAAAAAAACTAAACAAAACAATAAAATTTAATTAATTACCCTTTTCCTTTTATACACATGGGCGTGCCGGCAGCGCGAAACCGATACATGCAAAGTAGTACCAAATTAACATAACAACAGATATCACAATTAATTCTCTACTGACTTTATTATAGACACATTCATCCTGATACATAATCGGTGAGCGGAAACGTATTTATTAAGAAAGGCCGTACCAAGAAAATGGTTAAAAATTTTAGCCAAAAAAAAATTTCCCTCTGAAGAATGGTTTACATGAATGATGTTTTCAGCTGTGCACAAAATATAACGATTGGGTAAGAAAGCAAGGTATTTCTTGAAATACAGAACAGCTTTGTATGGAAACAATAAATTGAAAAACATAGTTAAGAAACTTAAACTGCAAATTTTTCACAGTTTATTACCATTTACAAACTTTATGTGTGTGTATTTTGTATTTGATGAGAACGATTAGGAACGTAGTATTGTGACAAGTATACATACGTTATAATTTGAAATGAATTTGCTCAATATTATCAAACGGTAATAAAACAATATTTGCAATTACTTAATATGATTAATTTAGTAAGTACTTTTGATGCCAATTTTGAAACGAACCTGCGTATCATTATAGCGATGCATTCCTTATTAAAAATAAGATTAAAAACATTTCATTGTAATACTTTTGAAACTTTTATTGGAGAACTCAATTCGAGAGCTAATAGAAGAAAAACATAAGGTTCTGTAAGCAGTCTTTTCATAACTTCTTCATTTATATTAAATATTGTGATTATTCAAATATCCTCGTTTATAAATGTAAAAAATTTTAAGAGAAGAAAAAGCACTATGAAAAAACGTGAGGATTATGGACCGGATAGTGCTTCTGTACATTCTTCTTATAATCCCGTGTGAGTTCTAAATGAGGAAATATTAAAAAGGAAATAAATGAGAATCCCTGTGCGCCCATACACGTACGTGTCCTAAATAACCTGTGTAAAGGGGATCGTGTGATATACATGTATATGGGTGTTACATGTACGTGTACATGCACATATAGCCACATGTAGATAGCAAATACATGTAGTGAAAAGCGCCCTCAAGTGTCATCCCCATCCTGTACATTAACCCTAACTCCCTAGGGTGTGTGCAAAATCATATTAAAATTGGAGGATTCAGGAATGGTAGGGCTATCTGAAAGAGAGATGGCTGCCAGTTCATGTTAAGCTCGAGACAAGTCCTTTAATAAATGCTACCTTAGAGCACACAATGGGCCCACATACCCTTCATCTATCAATAACCGCATAAATGAAGTTAAACAAACACAGTGGGCATCTGACATTGACGACTGATTACTGTAGAGTCATAATTTTGGGTCTTCAAGATAAAGTAGCAACATGTCCCACAATCATACGCCAGTGCCTGCGCGAATGAACTTTTTCAAAGGTCATTTGTACATTAAACGAATTGATTTACTAATAGGCCTGATCAAATAGCAAAGGCTCGTAGTAGCAGGTCGCACGTCATGCAACCATTGTTCTTGATCAGCTGGTTGCAATTTTTTAACCTGTCCATGGTGTAATGTTTGTGTTCGACATCCACATTACGCAGAGCAACGTAACCTTCACCGAGCGCAGGTAGGTATGAGCTACCCACAAATTGGTCTGGTTCCTTGAACAAATTGCCTTTGCGACTTGTAGACTTGTGACCAGTAATCAGTCTACTCGCGATCATTCAGGCAAAGCGGAAATAGAGGGCGCTGTTTTAATTTTTTTTTTAGGAAAAGTGGAAACAAAAGTGACGCACGCGCGGACCACTATTGGGGGGGGGGCTTAGATGGGAAAGTACTGGATAATACGTCGGCGATAAAACGTGATTAGGAAAAGTGTGATATGATTGAGGGCGCCCTACAGGTTCAACGGTATTTAAGATGGGACTAAGTTCAGGTAAAACGCATGGGGGCGCTTATCAACAAAACTTATCGTTTATGCTTTCTGATACGCCAGATAAAAATAAATAGAACAGAGCGGTTGATTCTACACATGAATCTTAAGTAGATTCATCACCTTTGCTCCAAAAAGAGTTAATCAAAAGATTTGTCCCGCTTAATGGAAAATATACCAAAGGATACAGGCTTATGTGAATGCGTACGTAATCATGACTTTATTAGTAAAGAAATTCCACTAAATAACTGAGCTATACTGGCCCTGTGATGCATGGTATGTGTCACACAATCCCGTAGGTCAATAAACTTGTGGTAAGTTTAATAAAAGGAATATTAGATTACAAGTATTGTAAATATAGCCCCAGTTCTGTATTTAAATCATTCTGGCATAATGCATTCCTGTTTAAATCAAATTAATGCATTGAAATATGTAAAAAAATAATCTGGAATGTATTTTATGTGAATATTATAACAGCATTAATGTACTTTTCATACATGTATGTATACGCACAGTATTATTTTCATACCATATTCAGTTCCAATTAGCAGAATTCAAATTGAAGGTTTAAAGTTACCTCCAAATAACTGTTTCTGTTATTGTACATGTGGAAAAATGGCTCTAAATATTGGTTGTATTTTAGTTACATGTAACTCGATTTAAAAAAAAATCATTTAGAATTGCGTACTTGTTCAAATTGGTTAGAAATTGGCACAGTGGACTGGGGGAGGGAACGTGTCATTCAGAATGAATCTTGTTCTAAGACCAATCGATGTCTAAACAGGGACAGATCCAGGATTTTTTTTCGGGGAGGGGAGGGTGGGTCAGGCAGGAGATTTTCTTAATGTTTCATTTTGCGGACAAAATGAAATATTACATGACATCGGAAAGAATGTTGAAACATTTCTTGATATTCATTCTTTATAATGGTATTGTGCACTTACCTTTGTACACTTTGGTTGATCGAAAGCTATTTTTCGTATTACTTTAGTAATCTGTTATTATTTTCCCAATTTTTAAACTTTTTCTCGGATTGGAGGGGAGGTCCCCCTGGATTCTCGCCTGGTTTAGAGTTGTTTTATGATTTTTGGTCATATCAGTGCAGCTGCTTTTTTAATTGTCTGTACTGAACAAGATGATCATAGCTCCACTCATCATACCAACGACAACTACCATGATCATACTCATCACATGACACTACTGGCTGCTGCTCCTCCCGCAGTGGTAGATGTGGCTCTTCTGGCCTCTTGCCCAACATGTAGAAATTCCGATAATAGTACCTGGAAATTAAAACAAATATCAGCACCTGACTGTTTAATAAGGATTTCGTTTTCGTGTAAAATTACAACATGAGTCCCTAAATCTTTTTTCTGCCCCATTTACCTTTGATTTTCAGTCGTTGCTTTCCCATTCATAAAGTTGTTCACTTTTCAGACCCTTGGTTTATGCTACAGTGCATAGGCAGTGCCATTTTAGATGGATGTTTCAGGATCAGCTACTCCGACAAAAACCATTTCTGTGTGTTTTGCTCTTTGGATCAGTTGGTTTTGGGGCCTGTTTTGTATTCATCTTGGACTAATTAAAAGACACCCTAAGAAGTGCCCTCCCGGGCGCCCCTCCTTTTACTGTATTTAAAAATGTTCTAAGGCTTAAATATAGTTGTGACAACAAGACTTTGGTGGGGCTTAGATATTCACCATCTTTGAAGAATAATCTTTTGGCCCTTGACAACTGGCTGGGCTGCATGAAGCGAGAAAGGATCACATCTACCATTGGCATCCTGGTTGTTCCAAACAATGGCACGCCCCTTACGTGGCACAACGCTGATACCTAATTCTGGTTTAAATAGAAACTGCTGGTTAACAAGCAATCTGTGGTACATCGATGAAACAAGTTGTATGTGGACAGGACAAGACTTAATATTAAAAGTGTGCTTTTTGGCGAGTACAAAGTAAATACGAGCCTGTGTGAAATTCCTAATTCCGTCTGTCCGCTTTTCAAGTTATGTTTACGTTTATGCGTGCGGTATGTGTCACTGTTTCAAGCTGTATCAATACCCTAAGTATGATTATTTCTTAGGGTACACACAGAGCCAGAAAGTTGACCCCTGGTGGCGCGCTGCCAAAACCTTTGGATAGGAAAAATAACGTGCAAAGATTTTACTTGTGTATCAATGTGTTTTCGTTCAGTTTCTTCTTGAAAAATCCAAATTGGAAAAGGGGTTTTGAAAAATATTTGGTAGTATATCAATTTATGCAAACTGAAAAATTAGCTGACTTAAAAGAGAAATATTCTGCCAAAAATTGACCCATATCACTTCCTAAAGTCTAAAATACATGAAGAACAGTGCAATACGGTAGTTTCGTATGCAGATGAATATTTATGGTTTGAAATTTTATGGTAGTCTATATGTGGATAAAAACAGAAACAAAAACAGATCAAAACATTTTGCACGTTTTAGTAAATTATAAGGTAATAAACATCAGGCAATATTCTACTTTTACAAAAGATTCTATTTTATATAACCTTTGTTGACAACTGCGTGATGTCAACTCAACGGAATCTGGAGCCCATCGACTACAGGTAGGTAAATCTTTGCAAGGTTGTAAAGGTTGTGCGACGCGTGAAAACAAACGTGCGTGAACAAGGAGACCTAGGTATGATATCGCTGGACGTGAAAGGTCGTTAATAAATTCGGTGTTTTTTTACCCATCTCCGGGGGATTTTTCCAATACTCGAGGAAGAAAAAGGGTAAAATTCCAACATGAATGTTTCATGGGGTGGTTTCAGTAAGGAATTATTTTTCAACAAATTATCGAACGTGATAGAACGGCCCAATGTAAAATCCCCATAGAAGGACCGCGCGAGGATTCCGGAAGCTCGTTGTGTGATCGTTTACTTTCAGGCTCTATTGCATATTTAATGAAGAAATTAAACCTCCAGATTTTATTCTTTAAAGAAAAACTGTATTTGCTGTACTTGGAAAGTTTCCTTCACGTCTGCCAACACCTACCGTCTATCTTTTTGACAGTTCTTTCTAACGCCGCCCTGCCTATGGAATTCCATAGCTTAGTTCCAGTGTTTCACTTTCATAATGGCTAATGGTGTCTGAAGACACAGTTTAACTGTAAAGTTGTCTAATGTATTCTGAGTCAACATATTTGTCTTAAACTGCTTGCGTGTGTAAAACGCACCCCCATTATATCAATCTTACTTTAATCATTCGGGGCAATATGGGCGTTTCACAGTAGCTTTCACAAAAGAAAATAAAAAATAAATAAAAACCATGAACCAGATTTTATGTCAAGCCTAACTGTTAAACAACAGCAAGGACAGCATAATTCAGGAAGATGAGCGGGCACACGTTACTGCGGTCGGGAAACGTAATAACAACTGTAACAATAGCGTAACTCACCCATTATGGTAGACTTTTTACGACACACATTTCAGCCTCTCTGCAGCCTCTTCCAAGGTGACGCAACTTTACGACACGAGAGCTCCCTTGTGTCGTGCTGTCACATCGCACCGTCGTCTTTTGCCATTACATTTCTACACACATGGGTATCATACTCTGCTTGCAGTCAAGCATCATCCATACTTTGGAGTTGAACTAAGCAAAGATTTAAGCTGGGCAAAGCATATTAACCAAGTGTATGGCAAAGCAACCCAAAACGCCTGGTCTCCTTAAAAGAAATCTCCATGCTTGTTGTAATCGGTCAAAGAGAATGCCTACAAGGCCCTTGTCATACCCAAACTGGAATATTGCGGGGCTATTTGGGATCCTTTCTACAATAACAACAAGATCACCCTGGAGAAAGTACAACGTAGGGCAGCCTGCTTCGTTTGTGATAATTACAAACGGATCTCACGCGCAAATAACATATCTTTTTTAAAATGGGACATTCTGGAGCTCCGCAGAATTTGACTTCAACTCATTGCAATTTTTAAGGAAATTCATAAAGTTACAACCTGCCAGCACCTGGTGGAACCAATACCTTCACAACAAGACACAACACAGAACCCAAAATTATTAACTAATCCCCAAACTTCAACAAACTTTGTCATCAATACTCTCTCTATCCTAGGACAATAAGGGAATGGAACCTAGTACCACCTGGCATACGACCTACTCCTGATGTCAAGACATTCAAAAGAAAGACTAAACATTTTTACTCTCTCAACCTCGTACAAAAAGCTCACTTTAAAATTTAGCCAATATATCCATCACTCCGACTTGTGCGTGATAACCACTGAGGAAATATTTGCACAGTATAGAACCAGAACCAAAACCACCTGATGTGTCGCGACGCGCGCGACGCACGACGCCACACGTCGTGTGCTGTTGCCCTTCCTGGTTTTTATTGAGGGCGCCTTGCCCTTTATTTTCTTTCATTTCCGTCCCCCGTGCTTGCATATATGTAGTGCGTGCTACAAGTCGCAGCCTAGCAGGTCTTGAATCTGTTGTTGTTTTTCATGCATTCTTTCTAACTTTGTGTTTTCATAAAAAAAAGTTTTTTGTAATCTAATGTAGTTAGAAAGAGCGTAGCGACCAAGTAGCAGTATTGTCTCCAGGAAATAAATAACATTAACGTCAGCCACAATCTATTTTAGGTTTTCCGTCTCTAATTCTGATCTTTTCAATAATTATTTGTAAATCCATTCTAAGATACAATACATCAGTCATTGTTACATGCTTAGTAATGAAACATGGGGATCGATGAGAAATCAACGTGCGCGGCCAAACAGAGTTAGAGAAAAGACATCATCACAATGGTAATACTATCTACAATGTTTTATTCAGAAACACGGACAATTGAAAGTATGGTGCTAATGAAGTTAACGAGGAACACTGAACTGAAGGAAGACTGAAGACGGAATATTCTTACGGTAATAATAAAAAAAGCAGGCAGGGTGCTAACTTCCTAAGCCCGTGCTGAAACTTGCAGTTGTTTAATTGCAGACTAATTGTCTACAGTAGTGGGACAACTACTCAGAAACTGCCGGGATGGACCATGTACAGAAAAACCAGGTTACAAACATGGAACGTCATTTTGGAACAAGGATGGGCCAAATAATTAAAGAGTGACGAATTCTGGGCTTACACGTATTGTGTGAGAAACATCAACGCCTGAGACACAGGACATATATTTTGCAAGCACGGCGGACGGAAATGAAACAAAACAGTAGTGGTGTCCTCTATAAACACAATGAAGTAAAGGGCGACAGCACACGACACGTTGCGTCGCATGTCGTGTCTTCCGTTGCGTCTCGCTTTACGTCGTGCTTCAGGCGAAGTAATATGCGACGCGATGTGAGGTAAGACATACGGCACGAGGGACGACAGTGCGACGCGACAGGCGACGGAAGGGGGACTTTTAGGCAGAAAAAAAATGCGACAAGGAAAGGACATAGGCCTAAGACAGCACGACGCGCATTACGACGCCATGCTTCGCCTGTGTACGTGTACAAACGTAACGGCAAAAAGGCGACGGCCCAACGTGACGGCACGACGCACGGGAGCCGTCGTTCCGTCGCTTCGTGTAGTTGCGTCACCCAGAAAGAGGCAGAAATGTGTGTTGCAAATAGTACACCATGCACCATACCTAAAACTATAAATGTACTGTATGCACTCATTAAAGGTCTTCTTGTTACAAGCATGTAGTGCCATTCGGGCCCAGCTCAACCCTTGGTTGGGGATTTGGTGGGGTGAGATGAAGTGAGGTAGGGTACAGTTTTCAGGATCCGTTGAGGCTGGATGGGGTAGATATTTGATGTTATGGTCCAGATTAGGCGGGATTTGGTTAGTGTGGAATGGGGATTTGATGGATGTGCTGGTATATTTTGGGGTCAGTGGGGTTGGGTTGCCACCACGGTCATATAAATGCATAGACCGCCACCCTTCCGCGTATATTCATGATTTTGAAAAGTAAGGGCAAAATGAGTAAGTCGTCTCA